TCACTGCCTCTATTCAGCATATTACTGGAAGTACTAGGTAGAGCAATTAGACAAGAAAAATAAATTAAAAGGCATCTAACTTGGAAAGAAAGATTATTTCTGTTTAAAAATGCCTTTATCTTATATATAGAAAACCCTAAAGGTAATAAATAAAAAACACTGTTAAACTAACAAACAAATCTAGTAAGGTTTCAAAACACAAAATAAGCATATAATAATCTGCTTCATTTTTATACACTAACAGTGAACAAGGAAATTAAGAAAACAGCTCCATAGTCATTGCAGTACATTGAACTTGAGTGCAGAGGCCAGCGAGAGGCACACTGGAACTGAGCAACTTTGTGTATCATATAACTAAATATGAGCAACAAGGATCTTAACAAGCTGAAAGACAAAATATTAATATGATCATATGTATTTTTTGTACAATATTTCCAGAAAAAGGACAAGAATCACCCACATGCTTTAGCTAGCTTTTCCAAGTGTTCTTAGACATGTTCAAAGAGATAGAAAACTATGTCTGCTAAAAGGAAAAAAAAAAAAATATATATATATATATTTATATATATATATATATTTATTTATATATATTATATGTATATATATATATATACACAAACCCACTGAAAGAGAAATTGAAAACTGTTTTTCTTGTAAAAGGGGAAAAAAATTTCAAGGATCTCAAATGCACTTAATAGGCATTCTTTGACCTTTTTCTTGTTTTGTTCTGAGTGGTGTCCCAGAAATCAAAGGAGAATACTCTGGCCTATTTATTGGTAATGTTGCAAATAAATTGGGCAAAATGTGAAATATTGCTGTTGCAAATGAAAAGCAGTCATATGATAAGTCTACAAAGGTGAAGGAAAAGTAATGTAAAAAAATAAAAATAAAAATAAACAAGGATATCACTGTATGTCAAATTAAAGGAAAGGAACCATCAAGGCTAAAAAAGCAAGAAACAGAGGGAAGAGGAAAAAGAAGATTAGAATTAGAAGAAAGTCAAAATGAAGATAAGGAAGATGATGATAATGACAAATAGATTGCTTCTAGTACAGATTTTTCTTCTCTAGAAAGGATTTAATATTCCTGTATGCAACTCATTCTTTTTAAAGAAATTAAAATGTAACACTTTATAATATTTTTTAAAAACTGTACAGTGTCTTTTTTGTATAATTAACACACTAGAGAATTTGTCTTTGAATAGCCCTGTCCTATTGATAATTTGCCTTATACAGTGTCAGAGATTTAAATTGGCATGAAAATTTAAAGTGGAGTTATATTTTGCTTTTGGTGCACAATATAACTTAGTTATATATGGGCATAATCATTTGGGGTTTATTTTATTTTATTTTCAGTTGTCTCTGATGCAGATTATACGGAATTGCTATTGTCCCATTAACTGAATAGTGATTGGAAAGAAAACAAAAAAACAAAAAAGGTTGACTGCTTTGCTTACATTTTGAATGCTCCTAAGTACATACATTTTTATTAGTATTACTCTTTTCATAGGTCTGATTTTTTTTCTTTTGAGGGGAAGCTAATTATTTTTCTTGTTGCTTATTTTGCTTGAACCAAATCAATACCATTTATGTTTTTATATAAATATTGAATACAAATTTTGTCTACACACATGACATACTCATGACAGAAGTAATGCAAGTTGAATTAAGACAGTTTTTATAACTAAAGCTTATAAACTTGATTAATTGTTATCAAATTTACATGGCTCAGTTACATTTACAACATGAAGAGTAATTATAATAAACTGAATGATTATGTTCTCCCCAAAATTTATATGTCAGAATATAAATCTTTATGATGATGATATTAAGTGGTGGGGCTTTTGGGAAGTGGTTAATTCATGAGGGCAAAGCTCTCATAAATGGGATTACTGTTCTTATAAAGAAATCCAGAAAGCTATTTTTTCTCTTATCCCATATGAAGACAAAACAAAAGCATTGTATATGAACCAGGAAATTGACCCTTACTAAATGCTGAATCTGCTGGTGACTTGATCCTGGACTTCCCAGACTCCAGAAGAGTAAGAAATACATCTTTGTTGTATATAAGCTGCTCGTTTTATAGTATCATGTTTTAGCAGCCTGAATGGACTAAAGGCAGTAACCAATCTATGCACAGCATAAGATTATTAGAATCAAATATTTTTAAGATCTGTCTGTGATGCATTAAAGCAAAATATGTTCTAACTTTTACTTGCGGACTCTATATTTTTAAACGGCATTACTTTTTAATGCCAGTTATATTTGTGGTTCTCAAATTGAAGAAGACATGAAAACATATCCCTAAAAATGTAAGTTTAAAATACAATACTGCCATGTTAAATTTTGTTGACATTAGTTTCAGAAAAGTTTCTATGAATGTGATAACTGTAAATATCTTTTTCCATTTATCAAAAAAGACTGTTCAGTAAAATTTATGGTCTTAATTAAAATTATTTTGTTTAACTAGGACAGCTTAAATATGTAACAGCATTTAAATTGGATGTATTTTTATACATTGTAGCTTGTTTCTATATAAATCAAACACACATAAAGACAAAAGATATTTAAACTTTGCATATTTATATAATTTATTTCAACTTCGGCGTTTTTTGCAATATTCAACCTCGTTTGCCAGGGTTATATGTTTATCTGTTTAACAGTACAGAATAAAATGTCAAAATTTTGTAGTTACTGAGATTATCATTCTCTTAAATTGCCAGGATTTTGAAATATCATTCTTGGGATTTTGCATGCTTTTGTGATGAAGTGTTGTTATGTAACTTCAACTTGAACTTGTATTATTTACATTTCTTTATGTAATTTCAGAAGAAATACTAAACATCTGAGTCCTGGGCAATGCTTATAAACTAGCAACTGAAGAGATTTTAAAAAAGAAAAGAAAAACAATCTCATTACAATAACATCAAAACAAATAAAATATTTAGAAATATGCTTAACCAGGGAGTTTAAAGATATGCACACTGAAAACTGCAAAATATTCATGAAATAAATTAAAAAATCACAAATAAATAGAAAGCATCTTGTGCACATGGACTGAAAGTGTAAATGAAGAATACAATTTAAAGCTCCCAACTGACTGAAAGAATTCCTCTGGGTAAAGGGAAACCTGAAAAACTAAATTCCAGACCATGACAGAAGAGGAGATCTAACAGAACTTATCGTGCCCTCTCCTTTGTGCAGTTTTAGGCACAATTGACCAGCATTAACATTAAAATAGAGGTGATAAAACTGGAAAAATAGACTCAGTGGTAATAAGATATCAAATTCTCACCTGACTTATCACATGACATATAATATGCTCTAAAGAAAATGAAAATACTTTACCCAAAAATATATTTATGTGATACATGTTGAAGTGATTCTGCAAAGTTGCCTCTTGAAGACATTTGCATCTGTGGAGAATCTTCTTCCCTAGGGAGAATCTGACATCCCCCTAAGACAAATAGCAACTATTTTCTGAAGTCTACTACTTAGAGAGTTTATCTACATAACAAAAACCTTGGCTTCAACAATTCCCCCTTATCTTTTTTTTTTTGAGTTGGAATGTCACTCTGTCGCCCAGACTGGAGTGTAGTGGCTGCTCCGGCCACCGCAGTCTCGACCTGCTGGGCTCCGGGGATCCTTCCACCTCAGCCTTCCAAGTAGCTGGAATTACAGGCATGCGCTAGCACGCCCCACTGATTTTTTTGATTTATTGTAGAGATGAGGTCTTGTTGCCCAGGCGGGTCTCGAACCTGCGGGCTCAGGCAATCCACTCACCTCAGCCTCCCAAAGGCGCGGGATTACAGGCTGAGCCACTGAGCCCGGTAATTCCCCCTTATCTTAACTCAAACATTTATTTTGCAGATTGCAAATTCTTTAGACAGCATAACTCTTTCTACCAATCAGTGATCAGAAAATTTTTGAATCCACCTGTGAGCTGTAAGTTCTCTGCTTGAAGATGTTCCACCTTTTGCTCCCAACCAATGTAAACATCACAAGAATTAATTTCTGTTTTGCTTGTAACTTTCCTCTCCCTAAAATGTATATAATCGAGCTGTTATTGAACCACTGTTGGCACATGTTCTCAGGACTGTGCCTCCAGCCTTGGTCACTCAACATTTGGCTCAGCATAAACCTCATCAAACATATTTTGGCAGAACTTAAATGTTTTCATTGTCAGAAAAATAAATATTGATAAAATGTCTATACTAAGCAAACAGACTTGCAGATTCAATACTCTCTCCTTCAAAATGCCAATGGCATTTTATTTTTACGGAAGTAGAATATAATCATCTTAAAATTAATAATTTAATAATAATAAAATATTTAGAATAAGCAAAGCAGTATTAAAAAAACTGGAGAATCACATTTTCTGACTTCAAACTATATTACAAAGCTAAAGTAATCAAAAATTTATGAGACTGGAGTAAAGACAAGCATATAGACCAGTGGAATAAATTATACTATAATACCCTCTCCAAATCTAATCTTTCTTGCATACCCAGTTTTTTTTATTACAGAGACTAGAGCTTTCTTTCCAGAAATATGTGTATAATTGTCACTTTCCTGCTTTAAAAATATTTGATGGCTCCCATTTTTTTCTTAGAATACAGAATAAAATTCTTAACATTGCTATAGGGACCTGCATAGTCTGAACCCAACCTAACTCTCTAGATCAATATATAAACAAATTTATTTTCCTTTTGTATTTTTAAAAATATCAGTAGATTTGGAGGTTACAAATAGTTTTTATCTGCGCTTTAAGAATACCCACCACTCCCACTTGTGCACATTGTACCCAACAGGAGATTTTTTTGCCTCTACCACTTCCCCCTCCCCCTTCTGAGTCTTCATTGTTGTCTTTGCATATCCTCAGTTTAGCTCCCACTTAAAAGTGAGAACGATGTGATGTTCGGTTTTCTATTCCTGAGTTAAATATTCTCTTGAGCCTCAGTCTTAGCTGGGGAGCCACTGGGCGTTCGCCATCCGAAAGAGATGTTCTCATCCGTGGCGCCCCTGGTCCCAGCGAACGCCTTCAACGTGCCCACCTGCAGCTGGTGCACACAGGCCCCCGAGGTAGCCCTGCCACGCCCGCAGACCCACCCCACTGCACCCGACCTGGCCACAGCCGTGGTGGAAAAGAACAGTTGTGAATTTGTCTCCATGAAGTATTATGCTCTGTGTGGCGTTAGTGAGGTCTTAAGTTATGGTCTAGACACAACTTGTCTTTCCCTTGGATTTAGTGAAATGCCGCATGCAGGCGGACTCCCTAAAGTACAAGAGCATATTTAATGGATTTTCAGTTACACTTAAAGAGGTTGATATTTGAGGTTTAGCTAAAGGATAGGACTCGACTTTCATTGGCAACTCCATGCGGGGGCTCTGCAAGTTTGGCTTTTATGAAGTCTTTAAGGCCTTATTCAGCAACATGCTTGGAGAACTCTGGGCCACATCACTGCATCTGGCTGCCTCTGCCAGTGCTGAATTCTTTGCTGACATTGGAAGCTGCTAAGGTTCGAATTCAAATCCAGCCAGGTTATGCCAACACTTTGAGGAATGCAGCTCCCAAAATGTATAAGGAAGAAGCTCTAAATGCATTCTATAAGGGGATTGCTTCTCTCTGGATGAGACAGATACCATACACCATGATGATGTTTTCCTGCTTTGAACGTACTGTGGAAGCACTGTGCAAGTTTGTGGTTCCTAAGCCCCACAGTGAATGTACAAAGGCAGAGCAGCTGTTTGTAAAATTTGTGGTGGGTTACATGGCTGGAGTCTTTTGTGCAATTGTTTCTCACTTTGCTGATTCTGTGATATCTGTGTTGAATAAAGAGAAAGGAAGCAGTGCTTCCCAAGTCCTCCAGAGACTGACTTGGATTTAAAGGTGTGTGGAAAGAACTGTTTGCCCATATAATCATGATTGGCACTCTGCACTGTAGGGGTTCATCTATGACTTTGTGAAGGTCTACTTCAGGCTCCCTTGCCTTACTCCACCAGAGATGTCAGAGTCTCTAAAGAAGAAACTTGGTTTAACTCAGTAGACAGATCAAAGCAATTGTGGACTGAATCTGCTTATTGATCAGTGTTGAAGAAAGTGTAAAAGGAACTTTTATATATTTGACAGCATAGGAAATTATCTATTCCTGATATAATTACTATAGTATTCTTGCTTAAGACAAGAGTTTCAAATTTACTGTTGAAAAAAACCCAACTGTTCATAAAAAAAAAAAAAAAATAGAATGCTATTCTCCAATTCCATCCAAGTTGCTGCAAAAGATATTATTTCATCTTTTTTGACAACTGCATAGCATTCCATGGTGTATAAATATCATATATTCATTATCCACTGATCGACTGATGGGAATTTAAGTTGATTCCACATCTTTGCAATTGGAAATTGTACAATGAAAACACAGGTGAAGGATTTTTTTTTTTTTGAGTTGGAGTCTCACTCTGTCGCCCAGACTGGAGTGCAGCGGCTGCTCCCGGCCACCGCAGCCTCGACCCGCTGGGCTCCAGCGATCCTTCCGCCTCAGCCTTCCGAGTAGCTGGAATTACAGGCGCACGCTACCACGCCCGGCTGATTTTTTGGTTTATTGTAGAGATGAGGTCTCGCCTACCCAGGCGGGTCTTGAACCCTGGGGCTCAGGCAATCCACTCACCTCAACCTCCCAAAGGCGCAGGATTACAGGCTGAGCCACCGAGCCCAGCTAGGATTTTTTTTTAATACAACAACTTCTGTTCCATTGAGTAAATAACTAGTAGTGGGATAGCTGAATCAAATGATAGATACACTTTTAGTTCTTTGAGAAATTCTCATACCCATTTCCAAAGAGGTTGTGCTAAGTTACATTCCCACCAATAGTGTATAAGCATTCCCATTCTTCCACATTCAATCCAACATCTATTTTATTTTATGACTTTAATAATGACCATTCTAACTGGTATAAGGTTATATCTCATTGTGGTTTTAAATTACATGTCCCTGATGATGAGGAATGTTGAGCACTTTTTCATATGTTTGTTGACTATTTGTATACCTTTTTTAAGAGGTGTAAATTCATGTCATTTACCCACTTATTGATGGGGCTATTTGATATATTAATGCTGATTTGTTTGAGTCCTTAGTAGATTTTGGATATTAGTCCTTATCTGATGTTGTTAATTATTTATTTTGCTGTGCAGAGTTTTTTAAATTAAGCCCCACTTGTTTATTTTTGTTGTTGCTGTTTCTTTTGCTTTGGGGTTTTTAGTCATAAATTTGTTGCCTAGGAAGGTGTCCAGAAGAGTTTTCTCTGAAGTTTTATTTTAGGGTTTTATGGTTTAAAGTCTAACATATCATGGAAAAAAAATGCATGGATTTAAAAACTTTGGCACCAAAATAGACATGTACTAACTTGTCATAACATGTCTTAACAGACTTCAGTTTGAGGCACTAAGAAGGATAGAACGTTAGCTTGACAAGAGCCTCTATCAGAACAACATTAATTCTGCTAAAGGTGAAGCAAGAGCAAACATTACATTTAAGGGGAAACTTGGACAAGAGAATGGTAAAATAACTGATACTTTACAAAAGTATGTAGGGGCCAATGTTCCAAAGAAATTAGCAGTTAACAAAGGGATAACTCATTTTAGGAAGAGATGAGACAACATTGGAGATACAGCCTGAAGCAGAAAATAATCTACTTCAATTTTCTTTTTTTTAATTTTCAAATTTTTATTTTAGAGATGTGGGGTACAATTCAAGGTTAGGTATACAAATGTTCATTATGCAGGTACCCTTGTTGATGAGTTGTGCTCCCCACTCCCCCAGCAGATTCCCCTTACTGCCCATTCCGCCTCCTCCCTCCTGGGCAGTTTCCCGCTACTGCCAATACTTTTCTTATATTATTACGATAATTATTCAATGTCCACTTATGAGTGAGAGCATGTGAACTCAGTACTTTGTCTCTATGATAGATCACTCAGTATTATAGACTTCAAGTCCATCCAAGTTGCTGAGAAGTGCATAATTTTGTCCTTCATTATGGTTGCGTAATATTCCATCGTATATATCTACCACGTTTTTTAAAATCCAGTCCTCTTTTGATGGGCAGCATGGTTGGTTCCATGTTTTTGCTATTGTGAACAATGCTGCAATAAACATACGTGTGCAGTATGTTTTTCATAGAGTGATTTGAGTTCCTTCGGGTATATTACCAGTAGGGGGATTGCAGGGTCCTATGGAAGGTCATTTTTAGAACTTTTAGGAATCGCCAAACTTTTTCACAGAGGTTGCATTATTTTAAACTCTCACCAACGGTGTAGAAGTGTTCTCTTTTCCCTGCATCCTCTCCAGCATCTGTTGTTTTTTTTTATTGATGATGGCCATCCTGACTGGAGTTATGTGGTATCACAGTATGATTTTAATTTGCATTTCTTTGATGACTATGAAGTTGAACATTTTTTTCATGTGTCTATTGGCTGCCTGTATATCTTCTTTTGAGAAGTGTCTATTCATGACTTTTGCCTATTTTTTAATAGGGCTATTTGTTTCTTTTCTTTTGTCACATTTGAGTTCCTTGTAGATCCTAGATGTTAGGCCTTTGTCAGATATACAGTTGGCAAAATTTTTTCCCATTCTGTGAACTATCTCCCCACTCTCTTGATGGTTTATTTTGCTTTGCAGAAGCTTTTCAGTTTGGTGAGGTCCCACTTGTTTATCTTATCTCTTATGTCACGGGCACCTGGGGTTTTTATGGAATTGGTTGGTTGCCAGTTCCAATTTCCATGAGGGTGTCTCCTGCATTGTTTAAGGTTCTTATAGTTTGAGGTTTTACTTTTAGGTTTTTGATCCATTTAGAGTTGATTATTGTGTATGGTGATAGCTGGAGGTCTTTTTTTAATCTTCTGCATATGGTCAGCCACGTTTCCCAGCACAGATTTACTGAATAAGTTCTTCTCTCCTCAGTGGTTGTTTGTGGAGGCTTTGATGAAGATGAGTTGGTTGAGAAATTGAGGTTTTGCTTCCAGAATCTCTATTTTGTCCCATTGGTCTATATGCCTGCTCTTGTACCAATACCAGACATTTTGATTACCATAGTCTTGTAATAAAGTTTAAAGAATGGCCAAATCTGCTTTCACTACTGGACTGTTTTCATGGCCTGTTTGATTTGTGTGTCTACTTTCTCTTGGATTTCATTGACCCTCTCTGCCATTCATTTTTTGAATTATATATCTTTCACCAGGGACAGGTCTTTCTGGTTAGGGTTCACTGCTTGGGAGCTGGCAGGATACTTTGTGGATGTCAAATCATGTTGACTTTTGTAAGCACCAGTGTTCCTGCACTGATTCAGCCTCATCTGTTGGGGAAAACTCTTCTCATTTTATTTTATTTATGGTGTTATTATTTTTTATTTGTTAAGATTACTATTATTGAAGTGGGGTTTTGTATTATTGCAATTTTTTCTTTTGAATGTGTGTTTTGTATGCTGTGTATGGTCTGGTGGTTTCTTTTAGTGTCCTGACTTGTTTTCTCCCTGATTGAAAGGCTGCAGAGGTTGAGGCAGCAGTAGTGTTATTGGGGGGTGGGGGCTGGGGGCAGAGAAAATGCCAACCTTTTGTTACTGTGTTCTCAGGGCATTACTGATTCACAGTTATAGTGTTCAAGTTGGGCAGGGCAGCTGCTTAATGCCAAAAGGTCCTGTTTCTTAGAGAGTTCTGGGGTGTGAGTCTGGGTGTGTGACCTGTAGGTGCACAAAAGTTGCCCATCTCTTCCCTTCCTTCCTTATTTGTGAGTGGCAGAAATGGAGGTAGTGGTTCTGCCAGAGAGCTGTGGACGTGACCTCCCTCCTTTGATGTGTCTTTCGGAGAGGGAAAGTTGGCAGCAATGGTAGAGTAGGGAGGAGATTGGCTGGTACCACTTCACCAGGGTAATTAAGCTGGAGCAGGAAGATATTTTTCTTCCTGGGTGGGTGCTTTCTTTATTTCTGGCACAAGTACCAGGACTCTTGACTGACTGAGAGCCTATCACTTCTCTTCTCTGCCCTCATGTAGGCAGGACCATGGAAGCCACAATGGCAAGTGGCTGGCAGAAGCTTCAAAAGTCACTGTCCCCAATGTGATCAGATGGGTGTAAAGCTTTTTCTTGCCGGTGTGGGGTCTTTTTTCTGGATCATCACAGGCTGCCAGAGTTCTGACTGGCTAGGAATCACAGAGGCGTGCCACCTCCTAGTTCCTCCCCTGCTTTACTGGAGGGGAAAAATAAATGGTGATAGTGTGGGCTGTGGGAGGACTATTTCTATTCCATCAGTCCAGTGACTTCCTGTGTTCAAGCCATCAGTGAAGTTCCCAGTTGAGTTCTGGATGAGTGCAATGAAAGGGATGCGATTCAGGTGGAGTGATGCCCTGGTTTGAGAACCAGAGAGGACAGTGCACACTTGGCACAGTCATGACTGCATAACGTAACCTGGGGTCTTCCTCTGTGGCAGATTGGTGGGAGCTGGTGCTGCATCTTAAAGGGAACAAGAGTTCCTTGATTTCCATGTGGAACTTAGTGGTGCTTCTGTCCATATCCTGGGTGGCTTTCTACATTTCCACAGAGTTAGGGGAGGAGGTATGAAAGTTTCTGACGAAAGGCTGAGAGTGTCTTTCCTGTAACTAGGGCTGCATAGGTCCATGAGAATTGTGTAAAAACTCTCCCAGGCACTCACTCCAGCTTCTTGTATTAGGTCCACTCTTGTATTCATGGCTGGGGCCAAATCCAAAGTGGGTGGGGCTTATTCCCCTTTGTTCTCGGTCCCATATATCTTCCTAGTGAATTTCAGTATGGGCTTCCAGACAATACTCTGAAGAACCACTATTTACACACTGCTTCAAGCCTTCTTTGTGAGAAAGGCACTTTTCAGCTGTTCCCAGTTGGCCATCTTGTAAAATTAAATTTTTATAAACTTTCTGATGTTCCCTAATATTTTGTCATAGTTCAGATATCACCTCTCTGAGAAGCTTCTTCAGATTGCCTTAGGAAAAATACTCAAACTACTCACTCATTTTCTATGTTGTTCTCTATTTTGCTATGCTGATCTATCTATCTATCTATCTATCTATCTATCTATCTATCTATCTATCTATCTATCATCTACCTATCATCATCATCTATTTACTTATTTCTTTAGCATTTGCTTCTATTAGAAAAAAAATATCTATTTACCTATCTAACTATTGACTGCCTTGCCCCACTAGAATGTTAGGTTTATG